TCCCCCGACATCACTCCCCTCCTCCCCCTCCTGCTCCCCCTTGGAGACCACTCTTTCTCCAGGGCTTTCCTCAGACTGCTGGTCCCAGTGAGACGACTGGTTCCTGGTTATTCTGATGTCATTAACTGGACCACTGGTCGGTCGGTGTATAATTCAGCAGAACCGGTCTGAACCGGTTCAACTGTCAGGGATTTCTGCTCCATGTCCATCACCATCAACCACAGTCTCTTTGGTCTGGGTGGTAGGATCAGGTGACTGTGGTACTGTGTTACTGTAGTACTGCCGTCAACAATATCACAGGATCCTGTGAACATCCAGATGTTCTCGGTGTAGAAGAACACTCCATCATTGGTTGTTCCAGTGATGATCCAGGGTGGACAGAATGTTGGGGATCACCCTGGGACCATCAGGTCCTGGGTCGGGGTCCTGGGGTCTGGACACTGCTGCCATTCATGAAGGTTTCAGTGATTTCCTGTTTCTCTCCCCCCCCTCCCCCTCCCCCCCGTCTGCAGACTCTGCAGAAGTGCATCGTGATCTTTGCCCTGGTTTGTTGCTTCGCCGTTCTGGTGGCGTTGATTTTCTCGGCGGTGGACCTTTGGGGCGAGGACGAAGACGGGATCACGGAGGAGAACTGTAGTAGGAACTGCAGGTAGGAAATACAGGAGCACAGGTCAGAGGTCATGGCTCCACAGTTAAAAACAAATTAGCTGAGATGTGGTAGTTTTTTTTTTCTGCATCAGTTGCAGTTTTTAAAAAGCATTTTTCAGCAGCTCCAAGACAGAACTGCAGGAAAGGCTTAGAAAAAAGAAAAGAAAAAACAGAGGTGGAACTCCTCACGGACCGACTCCTCACAGACTGACTCCTCACAGACTGACTCCTCACAGACTGAGGCAGTTAGATGAATGTTCACTTTATGATTACCAGGCACTTTTTAAAGTTTTTCTTTTCTTCTGACTGTAAATGATGAAGTTTATGAAACAAAAGAAACTGAGCTCCGCAGCAGCAGCAGCAGGAGGAGGAGGAGGAGGAGGAGGAGGAGGAAGATGAATGTCCTGAAGGCCCAGAGTGGAGCAGCCGTTCTGCTGACTCAGGACCTCCTGCTGCTCTCCTCTTTCATTAATTCATACTTCAGCCCGTTCTGTTCTGTGAAAACTCAAGTCCTCCTCTGTGTCAGGAGATGGGGGAGGAAAGATCTGGAAATAAATATGAAGGTGATGATGGTGGGGAGGGGGAGCGGGGGGTGAGTCAGACACGGAGCTGAAGGGTGAGAGGGTGAGATCAGGCTGTAGAAGAGAGTGACCTCAGAAAACAGGACTGTGAAGTGATCCAGTCCTCTTCATCTAATCACAGCTGTCGGAATCACATCAGACTGGACCGCCTTCACACTGAGGAGTGGAGGGAGGTGGTCTGGTCCAGTCCAGTCTGGTCCGGTCTGGACCAGTCTGGACCAGTCTGTTAGTGAGAGAGGGAGAGGCGCCTCTGGTCTGTACCATGTCTGGTCAAACATGTTGTTAAATTCTGTGGTCATTACCAGACCTGAGGGATTGCACACATTAGGGGGAGGAGCGGGGGGCGGGACATGAAGAGAGAGAGAGAGAGAGAGAGAGAGAGCCTTTCCTGGTATTGACCCGTGGCCCACTGCAGAGAATTTCTCCCATCTTTCAACTTTTTTTTTTTTTTCCTGAACCCTGAACTGGTTTGAGGACAGTGAGGAGCCGCTCTTCTTCTCCTCCTCCTCCTCCTCCTCCTCCTCCTTTTCCTCCTTCTCCTCCTCCTCCTCCTCTTCCACATCTTTCTTTGTACTGAAGTGTCTGTGAAACATATCATAATTTGAGCAGCTCCGTCCACCACTGCTGACGGTGACATTAGAAAGGTCATGTGATCCTGGTCCGTAGATCCAGTTTCCCTGACTGTGTGAAAGTGGATCTCCACTGCTGACAGTCCTGATGGTCCAGCTTCAGTCTCTGACCTGAGCTGTGGTGATGGGGGGGGGGTCTTCAGCCTCGGTGTTCTTTTTTTGTTCATTTCAACCTTTTTTTTCCACAGAGTGGTTGTAGTGGAGAATGTCCCCGAGGACGTCTCCTTCCTGGACAATGGAACAGCTCACGTCCCTCTGTCGGTCGGGCTGTGCGACCTGCTGGACAAGGCCATCAGGGTGGTGGAGATCGTTTCTCCTCTGTGGCTCCTCAACTCCTCCGACTACGAGTCCAGTTTTCAACCCGCTGCCAAACAGGTGACGAGTCGTCACGTCTGTCCTCCTTCACGTCTGTCCTCCGTCATGTCTGTCCTCCTTCACATCTGTCCTCCTTCACGTCTGTCCTCCGTCATGTCTGTCCTCCTTCACATCTGTCCTCCTTCACGTCTGTCCTCCGTCATGTCTGTCCTCCTTCACATCTGTCCTCCTTCACGTCTGTCCTCCGTCATGTCTGTCCTCCTTCACGTCTGTCCTCCTTCACGTCTGTCCTCTGTCGCGTCTGTCCTCCGTCACATCCACATTATTAATAGTAGCTGAGACTCAGTGAGACCTGTTTCCACCGGTGACTCATCCACAGACCGATGACAAGGAACTCTTCTGCCTGAGGTGTTTTAGTCGAGGCTGACATGGGCTGTGAGGTGGAGGAAGTTACTTACTCACCCCACACTGGGCATTTTGGTCCTTAAATTAGAAAACATTAACAAAAGTCAGTCAGATCAAAACCTAAAAATATCAGAAGTTGAAGCAAACGTTTAATAATAAAACAAAAAAAAAAAAAGCCTGGCTCCAATAAATTCTAGAACGTTCTTCACATTAAGTTCAAATATTTAAAAGATGTTTCCTGCTGGGCACAGAGAGAAACTGCACTTCAAGCCGCTCGTGGATCAGAGTGACCTCTGACCTCAGTTTGGTTTCTCCATCAGGGCCGAGCTCTCCTGTCCAGGCTGCAGGGCCTTAAATCCAGAGGAGTCCAGCTGAAGATCTCCACCGGGGTGATGAACGCCGAGCTCCAGACTCTGGCCGCACACAGTCAGTCTTTACCACCCTAACCTGCTGTGTGTCTGTTGATCTGACCTCTGTCTCCACCTCTGGCTCACCTCCTCCCTCTCTGCCCCCGGCTCCAGACGCTGAGGTCCACCACGTGAACATGACGGCTCTGACCAAAGGTCGTCTCCTCTCCTCGTTCTGGGTGGTGGATAGAAGACATCTGTACATCGGCAGCGGGAGCATGGACTGGAGATCACTGGCCACAGTAACTACAGCTGGATTTAGAATCCATGATCAATAGATTACAAGGGGTTTTAACACACGGGGGGGGGGAGTCAACTTCAACTGAGATCTGCTGCTGTCATGTCGTTGTTGTTGTTGTTGTTGTTGTCGTTGTCGTTGTCGTTGTTGTTGTTGTCAGTGTACCTAAAGCTCCTGTTTCACTACTTCAGATACAGTCATGTTTATGTCCTGCTGTCCGTCTCCATGGTAACAGTCTAACGCCGGTGTGTTGCTCCTCCAGAGGAAGGAGCTGGGGGTGCTGGTGTACGACTGCAGCTGTCTGGCTCTGGACCTGCACAGAGTCTTCAGTCTGTACTGGGGCCTCCAGTACAAGGACTTCATCCCGTCCTTCTGGTCCAAGAGGCTCTTTGCACTTTTCAACAAGAACACGCCTCTGGAGCTCACCCTCAACAGCACCAGGGCCCAGGCCTACATCTCTGTGAGTCTCTGCTGATCTCAGCACTACGTCATGTACAGTGGAACCCCCGAGATCCCGGTCTAATCTGATCCACAACAGCACTCGTACGTTGATCGAATTTTCCCCATTAAAAATAACTAAAAAAAAAACAGTGAAATATACTTGTTAATTAATTATTTTTATATTTTATATTTTATATATATAGAAAACATTTTATATTATTATTATAAAAATGGTGAGACAGCGCCACAGAGTGTCGGGTGGAAAAATGGAGCTCTGGTAACTCGATGTTTTCTCGTATCACAAAGAAAATAAAGTTACTTACTCGTAACTTTGATAACTCGTATTTCGCGGCGCTCGTATCTTGGGGTTCCACTATGTCTGTGTGTGAGTCCTGGTCTTTTATTGGATGCTACGTCCTTGTCCTCTCCGTGTCCACAGACGTCTCCGGACATGTTCATCCCTAAAGACCGCAGCAGCGACCTGGAGGCCATTTCCTGGGTCATTCAGGAAGCTCGCCGTTTCATCTATATCTCCATCATCGACTACCTGCCCCTGCTCAGCAGCAGCTCAGACAAGTACGATCCTGGAGCGGCGTGTTCATCACACGCTTGAACGCTTTACATTGATTCAAGGCCTTGAACCTATGTCCACCTGGACCCGTGCCCACAGTTATTTGTGTACGTCTGTGTCTGTACCAAGGTACTGGTCCCGTATCGACGGCCTCCTCCGGGAGGCGCTGATCTTGAGGAAAGTGCGCGTGCGTCTGCTGATCAGCTGCTGGGAGGAGACTCAACCTTTGACCTTCAATTTCCTCTGGTCCCTGAGGAGCCTGTGCATGGAGCAGGCCAACTGCTCTGTGGAGGCAGTGAGTACAAGGTCACCATCAACAACTCACACACACCACACCCCCACTGACCCCCCCTCCTCCTCCCCCCATCTGTTCATGTGTGTGTGTGTGTAGAAGTTCTTCAACCCCAGGGTGCAGGGAGACGGCAGTCTGCAGGGCATCAACTACAACCGCTTCATGGTGACAGACAGGGCCGTCTATCTGGGTGAGGTGTCCTAACACGCACACACACACACACACACACACACACACACACACACACACACACACTGTTGATCAGAACCCGAACCCACTGTGGCTGGACTTGAGTCCTTGTCAGGTTCTGTGATCCAGAAACTTGAACGTGTTCATTTCTCTGCTTCACCCCAGGAAACCTGGACTGGGTCGGCAACGAGTTCACCTTCAACGCAGGAGTGGGTCTGGTGATCAGCCAACCAGAGGGCGTCGACGACAGGAACGCCACCGTGGTGGAGCAGCTACGGGCTGCGTTTGACAGGGACTGGTATTCACGTTACACCCGCTCTCTGCAGGCCAATAAGATTCCTGTGTGTAACAAGCACCAAATCAGTCGCCTGGTCCCAGTCAAAGCCAAGCACCTGGACCTGGGACCAGTACCGATGAAAACAGGCCAACATGTGGCCGGCGTCAAACCTGCACCCTTGAGAAACAGCCATAAAGATGATGGACAGGCGGCAGTCAGAGCCCGTCACCATGACGACAGAACCACCAGACTGAACCACCAAGTCCTGGACAGTTACAGAGAGAGGGAGCGGATCAGAACCGGTCACCAGGACAACAGGAGGTCAGAGGTCAACAGAGGCGGTGACCCAGTGGACCTCCACGGTCAGTCTGCTGAGAGCAGCGGCAGCCGAGAGGTCTCCAACGGATCACCCTGAAGGGGGCGCAGGAGGAGGAAGAGGAGGGGGAGGAAAACTCCCCCTTTTGGTTGAAGATGGATTTACTGGACTGGGTGTTTGTAGCGGGGTGGATTTACTGGACTGGGTGTTTGTAGCATTTTATTATTTTTATTTTTTTAAAACTGAGGTTTGGATCTGGATATGATCCGAGGAGGAACTCAGGAAGAACTTGGATCCTCCTCTGTTCTGATACTCTGGACTGACTCTTGATGAAGGAACCAAAGGATTTTGGTCTGAAGAACCTGTTGACTGTAGAACTTTATAGCCTTGCTTGTAGGTTTTTCACAGACAACAAAAACTAAAACATTTTTACCCTTTAACATGCACAGAATACTGTTACAAGTGCACTGCAACAGTCGGTGCTGTGTGTTTGACACAGTCGTTTAACTTGTGTTTGTACATTTCTTACACAGAAACTCCAGACGACAGTGTGTGTTTACAAACTGACTGATTTCATCATTTATTTCCCTTTAAAATGTTAAAAACAAAGATTATTTGCTCCGGGTTTGGAGGTGGACGCCGATCGTACAGATGTCGTATGGTGCCGATGTTTTCACACAGATTCTTCCTGACCACTGACTTCAAACTGCGGTCCAGGTCCAGGTACCAACCCTCACCTTCAGAACCAGCAGCTACATCTGGGTGAATGTAGTTAAGGAGACCTCACTTCCTTCAGGTTATGACCTAAAGGTGGAGCTGGAGAGCAGAGGTCACGACCTTTTTAACACCACTGAGCAGTTTCCTGTCAGACAGATATCTGCTGAAAAACAAGAGGAAAACAAACACATTTAAACTAATGTCAAAGGTCATGTGGAAACTTCTGGTTTACAGTCTGCTTCTCTGTGTCCTGGGACTACTCCAGGCGCCCCCTAGTGTTTGGGGACCATCATGTCTGTAAGGTCTCCTCCACAGGCCCACTGTAGATGTTTGAAACTGTGTCCAGTGAGGTTTGATGTCTGAGCCTCAACCTGTAGATCTCCTCTGTGTACACCAGGGGGCAGATGGAGGTTGTAATTGAATTAGATGAGAGTGTGGATTATGCCTGTGGTCGATGCAGATCTCCAGCCTTTGATACAGTGTTGTTGTCAACAACGGTCTGATCTACAACGGTCTGTGGACGTGATCATTAACCTTCATCAGTACGAATCCTAGTGAAGGGGGAGAGAGGGGGAGATAAGCTGCACTGAGGGAGCAGTTTAGAGGAGGGGTGTGAGGATGAAAACAGAGAGACGGAAACGTTATGTCACATATTTTAAACCTAAGTGTTTGTGGATGTGGGGGGGGCCAAGGTCAGTAATGAATGGAAGCCAAACAGGAAGCTGCGTGTGCACCCAGTCTTTGGTCCTGATTCAATGCAGTGAGTGAATGAATTCTGCTGTGATGTCCTTCAGACTGAGACGACTGATGATGAACAGTCACAGCAGTGGAAACAGCCTGAGCTGAAGACAGTCAACCATCATTGGATCATCAGACAAACACACGCCGTCAGTCGTTATTAATTAACATGTTATAAAGTTAACGTTCCACGTCCACTCTGTTCTGTCGTGTTCTGTGCCTATGCAATCTGTTCATTCCACGGATTACCTCGTCATTGTTCCTGTTGACGACCGCAATCTGCTCAAAATGGAAAACTAGTGCCATCTAGAGGTCAACAGCGGAAGAACCAATTCCACTCAGGAAGTGTTTTTGTTTTTCCTTCAGATAATGCTCATGAATAGTTTTCCTGGCGACACAGTCTCACACCCGGTCGTCACCTGTCAGTCGACCCAACACCACCAACACTGACCCGGGGTCAGGGTTCTGTTGTGAGGAGCAGACAACGTTCATCCACCAACGTCTGTCATTTTTTTTCCTCAGCAGTTTTGTGTCATTTATTGTCGTTTTTGGATCATGGTCCTGCTCCAGTTTGTCATCAGTCATGTGACATCATCAGTCATTCACAGTGTGGTGCAGTAGCTGTGATGCTAACATGTTGATGGTCAGTCATTTTTCTACTTTGCTGCTGTTCACTGTAGAACACCTGCACTTTATCCTCCACCACGTTGACCTTTGTCCGATGCCGTGTTAAAGGTGTGTTGTTTTTGTTCTGGAGCAAATGTGCTGCTAAAATAGACTGAAGCCAATTCTGGTCCCTTTTTTTTTAACATACTCTTTTAAAAAAAAAACAATGACACTCTTACTCAGCATGGCCTAGAACTGATCCTCTAACAACGTATTTTTAATGCAAGTTATCGTAGCTCTGTTCCAGTTTACACTCTGATCCAGGATCTGTTTGTGTCCTGTCCTATGTCCCTGCTGTCACACCTCAGGACCTGAGTCCTGTTTGTTCTTATCACATTATGAATGGAGTTCAGAAAGCTGCGTATTTCAGCTCACTCAAAGCTTTTCGACGTCGCTCACCTTTATTCCCTCGACTTCGTCGGCATGACTGTTGTTCTGCATGTTTTCTGCCTTTATAAAAAGTGCACTGTAGCCACGAGCCTTTCTAAAAGACGATGCTATAATGAAATCTTATACCTTTACCAATACAGTACAGACGGAATGTATATTTATTATGTATCCTTGGTAATGCACAATAACCACTTAACTAATGACTTTGTTTTTACTCTTAATAAAAAACAAGTCCTCTCAGAATCTCTGGTCCGTCTGTGTTTGTACCGTAGACCAGCAGCGACCCAGACCTTTGAATCCAGAACCTGAAGCTGGGGTTTACTGTATGTAGTAAATACTGCTCTGCCACATGATACAGATACTGTACAGGAATGAGACTACAGCAGGAAACATTCCTGAGGTCTTTGTATATTTTTGATAAATAATTTGATAATAACACTAAATATTATTTGAATTGGGTTTTATTGAGTAAATACAAATATTACAAGAAAAATAATAAATAAAAAAAGAAAAATAATAAATAAAAAATAAGAGCAAAAACTATAAAGAGACACATATGTGATCTGTTCAACCTAGTAGGATTCCATTATATTTTTAAATAACAGACTACGGAGCCCGTAAAGGGATATGGGGGGCATAAATGTTTCTGTTACTTATTTAGTCCCACCTCTAGACCCCTACCGACCCTCGTGTCCCTTAGAAGGACTCAGCAAACTCTAATTACTCTACAGCAAACAGATATTTGTCAATTCTACATAATCGAAACTTAACTATTTAGTCAATTCTACATAATCGAAACTTAACTAACAATATTTTTGGCACACCGATACGCTGTTGACACCGATTCAATCTTAGTTCCTACTTCCTTCTGTACACCTCTCCGGTCAGACCTCTTATTGTATTAAGAACATAATAAAAGAATAACGAGGCTGAATGGAGCCGATAAACGACCGTAAAAAAGAGTATTATGTAGTCTAGGATCCAGAGACTCCACTCGAACTCTGTGCATCTTGTTTTTCGGACACCGTTTAGTGTTACACACTGAATCCATTCGGTCCAATCAGGACGCGATACGTCATTACGTACGTAATGCCGACTCTGATGGCTGCCTCCATGCGGACAGTGGAGCTGTGAAGATACTAAGGATATGTGGTCGTTTTGTGTGTATTGTCATGTAAAAATGCGGAATTTTCTACACCTCGGTTCTTCGTTCTCCCGCCTCCATGTCCGTTCATGTCACCAGAGTGTTTACAGACGGAACACTCACCCCCGGGGGGCGGCAGTGGAGCTGGGGGAGACGTGAGTTTACCTGAATCTACTAAAACACTGAACTCACAGACACTGTATTATTTCTAAGATTTGAAACAGAATAAAAAAAAGACAAGTTAACTTTTTGACTATTATTTAAACATTATAAACACATGTTTAGTTCAAGGTCAGATGTTTAAAGACGACAGTTGAAGTCGGTCCAACTGTCGACTCTAGTGTAAAGATGGAAAACAGTGATTTTTTTTTTTAACTGTTATGATGTAACCCTTTAATCCAGTGATTTTTACACGGATTTTTCACACAGTAGTCTTCTACCTGTTTAACATCACCATTCATTCTCACATGATTTAAGAAACGTCTGGTCACTAACCATAGAAATCTTAGCTTAGTCCCCTGACCTTCAGACCATATTCTAATTGACTTTTTCCTTTCACATTTCCTGATATATTTATGTCATTAATCCCTTCATCTTCATCATCTTTTTCCAGTCTGTTTTCCTTATTTATCTTGTGGGTGTGGCACCTGTATTATAATATGAACTTGTATGAATTAGCAGTATATACGACTTCCTGTCTGATTGACTTTTAAACAAATTTTGTTTTTGCAGAAAACTTCAAATTTCTTCAGGCAAACTTGCCAGATTCGCAGATGGATCTGCTGTGGTGCAGGTGAGAACATCCGAGTTTGTTTCTCCTTCAAAGTTCATTCATATCTGGTCTCTGATTGGTTTGTCATAGTCCTTACATAGCCTGAAAGGACAGTACTGTAATGTGTGTGTGTGTTTGTGTTTCGATGACGTCTTCTGTCTCTGAAGCTCGGAGACACCTCAGTGATGGCGACGGCCGTCAGCAGAACCAAACCTTCTCCGTCTCAGTTCATGCCTTTGGTGGTATGTCCTCCACACCAGTCAACAATGACAACAAGATGGAGCGACAGACGAGTCAGTGGTGCTTTAACGCCTGTGCACTTTGATTGACAGGTGGACTACAGGCAGAAAGCAGCAGCAGCAGGTCGAATCCCCACCAACTACCTGAGGCGAGAGCTGGGAACTACAGACCGTGAGATCCTGACCAGCAGACTGATAGGTGACCTGCTACCACCGTACCACTGTACGGCTGTAGGACAGTGTTAACTCTGATTGTTGTACATTCCTCTGACTGTCGTCTCCGTCTCTTTTCGTTCCTCCTCTTCAGACAGATCAATTCGACCACTTTTTCCTTCCGGTTACTTTTATGACACTCAGGTAAGTTTTTTATTAAATTTTTTACACTTGACTTTGGATGAATTTTTCACATCTGTTGATGAGTTGCTGTTTTCTCACTCATGTCTTCCTCGTGTGTTTTTTTTAATCCTGAAGATCGCTTGTAACCTCCTGGCTGTCGATGGCGTGAATGACCCTGATGTTCTGGCGATTAACGCAGGTGAGTTCACTCCTGACCGTCGGTGTCTGAATGGATTGATCTTTTATCAACAACTGAAGGATTTCTTTTCTTTTCCTGCAGCCTCTGCTGCTCTGTCTCTGTCCGACATCCCCTGGAATGGACCCATAGGTGGGAGCACACACACACACACACACCAATCAGTTGTATATGTATTTCGGTACATCCGGCCTGAGACTGCTGTGTCTGTATGTGTGTATATGTGTGTGTGTGTAGGTGCCGTTCGCGTGGGTTTCCTGGACGGACAGCCACTCATCAATCCCACCAGAGCAGAGATGAGTTCCAGTTCTCTGAACCTCATCGTGGCTGGAGCTCCGAGCAGCCAAGTGGGTACGTTTTGAGGTTTGAACCCATGTTTCGGTGGGTCTGTACTGCGGACCGAGTGACGTTGACTTTTTAATGTCAGGAGATATGGTTAATGGATCAGCAGTGTAGCGGTTAGCACGCCTGCCTTGCAATCAAAGTCAAGGGTTTGATTCCCAGAGGAACCACATATCTCTAATGGCGCCTCTTGTGGCAGACTCACACTGTTAATTCTCTTGTCGTGGGACAAATAAATAATTATTATTAATATATTAATCCCCCCCATCCCCAGTGATGATTGAAGCCTCAGCTGAGAACATGCTTTAGTAGGATTCCTGCCATGCAGTGAAGGTGGGCGTCAAACACACACAGAAGATCATCCAAACCATCCAGCAGCTGGCTCGAGAACAGAAGGTGACCAAACGCACCCCAGTCAAGATCTTCACGGCGCCCCCTGCCATGGTGGAGCAGGTCCGACAGTAAGTTCCACAGGAAATCAGTCCCGATTCTGTTCAGGTGCAGAACTTAGTCTTAAACCATCACTCACTGTGACTTCTGCAGACTGGCATCACAGAGAGTCTACGCTGTCCTCACAGACCACACACACGACAAGGTAAACACCTGGATTATCAGTATTATTATTATTAATATTATTAGAAACAGGCTGTCGCCCCCTGGTGGATAACAAAGTCATTTCTGTCAGATCACCAGAGATGAAGCCATCAATGAAGTTCGACTGGAAACAGAAGAGGTTTTAAAAGGTGAGTTCAAGGTTCACACAGAGTTCTTCTGACAAACCACCCTCAGCTTCGACTGTCTTCTGACTGTACTGTTGACTGTGTGTATGTGTGTGTGTGTGTGTGTGTGTGTGCAGAAAAGTTTCCTCAGGCTGAGCCTTTTGAAGTCATGGAGTCCTTCAACGTCGTGGTCAAAGACATCTTCCGCAGCTTGGTGTTAAATGAGTACAGGAGGTGAGACCTGTGAGGACCCTCTGTTACAGCCGCACCGCTGCAGGTACAACCTTTTCATCTGTGTGTGTGTGTGCGTGTGTGAAAAGGTGTGACGGGAGGGAACTGACTGCCGTGAGGAACATTTCCTGTGACGTGGACCTCTTTCAGCCGCTCCATGGCTCCGCGCTGTTCCAGAGAGGACAGACACAGGTGTGTGACTGTTGTTGTACAGTTGTTATCACACTGTATTTAAACGGGTGTTACAATACTGCTCCCAGGGGTTTCCTAGAGGGCGCTGTGGAGCAGCAGAGGTGACGACATTGTTGATTATTGTTGTCGTTGTCTCCTGAAGGTTCTGTGCAGTGTCACCTTTGATTCCCTGGAGTCCAGTGTCAAAGCAGACATCATCACCACAGCTCTGAGGTTAAAGCATTTCTAACACAGACAAAAATCACAGACTGATCCCTGTCAGTGAGACAGGACTGACCTGGGATCAGTTTAATAAAATCCAGTCTGAGTTTCCTGGTGATTGAAGGGTTAACTCCTCTTGTTTGTCTCTGTCTGCAGCGGTGTCAAAGACAAAAACTTCATGCTTCATTATGAAGTAAGTGGAGTGGTTCACGTCAGTCATTCTGACTCTGTGTTCTTCTGGACGTGGAACTAAAATACTTTCTGTTTCTGACTCCAGTTTCCGCCGTACGCAACCAATGAAATTGGAAGGATGGGAGGCATGAACAGGAGGGAGCTGGGCCACGGTGGGTGATGACATCATCAATCTGGGTGTCTGTATGTGTGAGGATGACATCACACATTACTGTGTTTGTTTGTGTGTGTGTGTGTCCACATTACTGTGTTTGTGTGTGTGTTCACAGGGGCGCTGGCTGAAAAAGCTCTGAGGCCAGTCATTCCCACAGACTTTCCTTTCACGATCAGAGTCACTGCCGAGGTGTTGGAGTCAAACGGTGAATATTCTGTCAACAAAACACACACGTCAGAGAATCTGAGCAGCGCCGCTGACCTCTCCCTCTCTGCTCCTCTCTCTGCTCCTCTCAGGCTCCTCCTCCATGGCTTCAGCCTGCGGAGGCAGCCTGGCGCTGATGGATGCAGGTACCACGGACAGCTCCGCTCCTGTTCTGTTTGTAAACTACTGCCTACACCAGTGCTGTCTTTAATAGTGTTTAAAATACTCTTAAAGTATAATTTACTCTGAGATGATTCTGAGGAATGTTCTGGACCAGATTTGAAACTCTAATGATTATCAGAGCATCAGAAACTCACAGAATCCTCTGTTTGAGGTTTTCTTTTAATAATGAAATGAAATATTTGAAATATAGACATCCCATAATTAGATTTTGTGTTTGTGTGTGTGTCTTAGGTGTTCCCATCTCCTCTCCTGTGGCTGGAGTTGCCATCGGCCTCATCTCCAAGACCAGTGAAGACAAACCCACAGAGATCCAGGATTATAGAATACTAACAGATATTCTGGTACAAACAGTGTGCGCGTGTTTGTGTCTATGTGTGTGTGTGTGTTTAATGTTTTACCCTAAATAATGACCGTGTGTGAACAGGGAATTGAGGACTACCTCGGAGACATGGACTTTAAACTGGCAGGAACAGCCAAGGGCATCACTGCTCTACAGGTACCAACACTGCCCCCTGGCTCTGGACACAAACCAAACATGTGTTTGAAGTCAGTCTGAATGTTTGTCCTGGCGTCAGTGTCTCTGTCTCTGACTTTGGTTAAACAGTAACTGAATGTGCTCTCCAGGCTGACGTGAAGATCCCAGGTCTGCCTCTGAAGGTGGTGATGGAGGCCATTAGTGAGGCCTCAGGTAATCCACCATCACTCTTCACTCTGTGTGTGTGTGTGTGTTCTCTTTAATCACCTGTGTTTTTCTGTCACGTCATCTCAGTGGCTAAAAAAGAGATTCTGGGCATCATGAACAGTTGTATCGCACAACCACGAAAAAGTCGGAAGGAGAACGGACCTGTCGTTGGTGGGTGTTGTGTTTGAGTGACTGGAAATAATGACTTCAGGAGCAGCTGTGTTTCACTGTCTGCTGGGTTTTTCTGCTTCATTAACAGAAAACGTGCGTGTGCCTGTGTCCAAGCGAGCTCGGTTCGTTGGTCCTGGAGGGTACAACCTTCGCAGGTTACAGGCTAAAACAGGTGAAGAAGAAGAAGAGAGCTTTCTTCAAACTGCACCTTTGATACGTTGTTGGCCTGAGAACATCTCTAGAATCTCCACCGCTGACAGGAACTTTCTTTTTCTGTTGAGGTGTGACAATAAGTCAGGTGGACGAGGAGACGTTCTCCGTGTTCGCTCCGTCACCAGGAGCCATGCACGAAGCTCAAGAGTTCATCAGTGACATCTGTAAAGATGACGTAAGTCAAAGCTCACATGTTCTCTCTCTGTGTGTGCATGTTTCACTGTCGGATTCAATGCAGAAAATATTTTTTCCCCTAGTGGATAAATCTAGTACTGATTTTTTTTTTCTAACTTTTTGCAGCAAGAACAGCAGCTGGAGTTTGGTGCAGTTTACACAGCAACTATCACTGAAATGAGGTGAATAAGTACATCTGTTACTGATTACTTTTTTTGTCACCTGTGAATTTGTGCTTTTTAAAACCAACATGGGACTTTGAATTAGCTGTCAGTTCTTCTTCTGTCTCCCATTAAAGGGACAGCGGAGTGATGGTGAAACTTTACCCCAACATGAGTGCAGTCCTGCTCCATAACTCACAGCTGGACCACAAACGGGTCAGATCACCGTTGAACTGCACCAATCAGTTTTTCAGAGTTTCAGAAGTCACATGACTCTCATCTTTTTTATTTTTTAATTGTCTTCTTCAGATCAAACACCCCAGCGCTCTGGGTTTGGAGGTGGGACAGCAGATACAGGTGAGCGTCCATGACTGCATGCTGTGAGATGGATGTGTTCCTGCACTGCTCCTCTTCACCTCTACCTCCTCCCTGTACCCGTAACAGGTCAAATACTTTGGACGGGACCCGACGGATGGCAGGATGAGACTTTCACGAAAGGTTCTCAGTTCTCCTGCTGCCACTCTGGTCAAGACCATCAGTGAGAAACAGAGCATCTCCATGGGTTCGAGCAGCGGCGACATGTGACATCACAGCGGTGACATGTGACATCACAGCAGACTGCTTCCTCTATGACTCCTAACTCCTGTATCGATGACAGACTTGTACCAGACAGACGTACATAGAACTGAAACACATCACACGCAGCCTCCTCTCTATATTGTTTATCATGTGAGTGTGTACGACAGGACGTCTTTGATAACGTCCACAGATTTTACCAGATCCAGACAAACCGTGAACATGTTTTTTCAAACTCTAATGATCATGTCTGGCCCACGTGGGCTCCTCAGTTTGGGATCATTTGTATCTCTTCAGGGCTCCTCAGTTTGGGATCATTTGTATGAACGGTTTAGCTGTTTCATTTTATCATTGAGTTTTCATGTCATTTTCAATGTATGTAAATAAAACAATTTCTGCTGCTTTGTAGATTGAAGATTCAGATTTCACCACACACACACACACACAGGATGTCCAATCTAAGTGGAAACAAATGACTTAAGGTACGCATTTTGGGTAAACCTACTAAAAAGTTATGTTATGTTATTTTTAATAGTAATAAGAGGATGAATTATTATTTGACCTACCAACCTTAAAAGTGTATAAAAACTGAAATACAGACTCGTGGATAAAAACACACAAAATGCGTATTTTATTAAAAAAGTGAATACTTTAAGTTGGGAACAAAAAGATTTGTTTGTCCCAGGACTAAAGTAGTAATTTACATAATCGACAGATGAAATACAACCTGGAATCGCCAGAAACCAAAACTACAATAACAAAAGAAATACAAATTTATCTCTATAGTACTGTGCTGTTACTGCACATCAGTAAGTGTTTAAACTATCGCTCTCTAGCGGTTACTTTTGTCGTTTATCGAAAGCGCTTTTTGCGCGTGACGTTAATGTTTGCCATTGGCAGATTTCTCTGTCAGGGGGCGGGACCTTACTGTAGAGTGCGCTTGATTGACGTCGAAGAAGGAAAAGAACACAAGATCAGATTACAAGATGGCGGCCAGTAGATGTTAGCGAGGAGGCCGTAGGAGTTGTTGTGCTCAGTGTGAATAACCATTTGAAGCTAAAGCCGCCTTTTCAGTTATTCACCGTCGTTAAACTAATGAGTATATGAATCAGTGGTGATATTTAATTTAACTAAATTTTGCTTTGACGCGCATGGTTCTGTAACATGCTGGTAAAAACAAAGTTTACAGTTCGAGGTTTGAGAAATCAATAGTGGTTGTTGGCAAATAGCTAGCTTGCTAGCCCGGTTCCGTTAATCATGTCGGACACTCGGCGGCGAGTGAAGGTTTATACGCTCAATGAAGACCGTCAATGGGACGATAGGGGCACCGGACACGTCTCCTCAACGTTTGTTGAACGGTTAAAAGGAACTTCTTTGTTAGTTCGAGCGGAATCTGACGGTGAGTTCTCTCTGGAGGTGTTAGCTTTTAGCTAACAGTTGCGCGCTAACTCCTTGCTTTCTTCGTCACATTGTTTTCACCCGTAGCATGATCATTTCTTTAATTTGCTTATCGATTTATTGTTTACACATTTAACCATCACACGACTCTACGGCAGCCACCGTTACGTCTATAATGAGCTCAATGTACAGAGTTTTGTGAAGCAGCTGGTGTTAGCTGGAGCATCAACAGCATGGAGGCCAAAAGTGTTCTTACTTGAATTTCTTGTATTTTTAAGTGTATATTGTTTGTAAAGCTTGCCTGCAGTTTTGTCTTAAAATGATCAACTTGTTCTTGTGCACTTCAACTCGTGTTTCTTTTCATCGTGTGTGTGTATAGGACAGCTCGAGCTTTTAAGTGTTTTCACCCTGTGGCTTTTCTTTATTCAGTTCACCGTTATCTACTCTTATTTTATATTTTAGGTGATTTTGTACACGCTTTTGCTAACTTGTTACCACCGTTTTACAGGATCTCTCTTATTGGAGTCAAAGATCAGCCCAAACACAGCATATCAGAAACAACAGGTAAACAACAAAGACAACGATCATAAACTTCTTACATGTTTAGAGAGTTTAACCTTCAAACATATTTAAGAACTGGACAAAGCTATGCTGTTGTGTGACTTGACCTGTTATCCGTTGATTTTTGTCATTTTATACTAAGCCAACCACCAGTTGCCAGCCTCTGTTTATGGAAAGAGTTAATTATAGTGGCATGTAGGGAGTAATGGAGAGATAAAGCAAGCTGGAATATGGTATAAAGTGTTATAAGCACATCCATAGTGCAATGCTGTTTTGTCAGTGTTTTCTGAACCTGAGTTAGTGCTCAGGTGTTTATAGCCATCTGAATGCATGTGTAAAAGTGTCATTCTTTTGTCTTACAGGATACCCTGATTGTCTGGTCTGAGGCAGATAACTATGACCTTGCCCTAAGTTTCCAAGAAAAGGCTGGCTGTGATGAAATCTGGGAAAAAATTTGTGAGGTAAAATTTATTTTACCAATAAGGCCTGAGTTACTATATGATTAAATGTGCCATTCGTTTTTATCTGCACTGATTCTTTTTTTTTTTTTTTTTTTAATTTCTAGGTTCAGGGAAAGGATCCTGCTCTTGACATCACCCAGGACCCTATCGATGAGTCAGAGGAGGAGCGCACCGATGAGATCCCAGAGACTAGTCATCTGGTGGAGCTCCCTCCCTGTGAGTTGGGTCGACTAGAGGAGATAGCGGACCTGGTTACTTCTGTCTTGTCTTCACCAATTCGTCGGGAGAAACTTGCCTTGGCCCTCATGAACGAGGACTACATTAAGAAACTTCTGGGTCTCTTCAGAGTATGCGAGGACCTGGACAACCGAGAGGGCTTACATCACCTCTATGAGATTGTCCGTGGTGTCCTGTTCCTCAACAAAGCAGCGCTCTTTGAAGTCATGTTCTCTGACGACTGCATAATGGATGTAGTCGGTTGCCTCGAGTACGACCCTGCACTGGTTCAGCCCAAGAGACACAGGGAATTTCTGACCAAAACAGCCAAGTTTAAGGAGGTGATTCCCATCACAGACTCTGAGTTGCGGCAGAAGATCCACCAGACCTATAGAGTGCAGTACATCCAGGACATCATCCTGCCCACACCTTCTCTGTTTGAGGAGAACTTCCTGTCCACACTCAACTCGTTCCTTTTTTTTAACAAGGTGGAAATTGTCAGTATGTTGCAGGTAAGAGCTGTGACCACGTCATGAAAATGTCATTATCATTAAATGTCATTTTATCTGAACATGAACAGAAATTTCAGAAGTCAGTGTTCTTGTCTTTATTTTCTTCCAAGCTGTAATTGACATTTGTGGGTTTGGAAATGTATGTGTTATTGACTGGATGGTTGAAGAAACAATATCCAAATATGTGCGGCTTATTTTCAGTTGGCATTCCTTTGGTGACTCTTTTGTGTGTTTTAAGTTGTTTTGTTTTCACCCAAGTGACATTATTTTGTTCTACTGAAGTTCCACAACAACAGAGCGACAGGACACTGACCTCAGTAGGTGATGGTAAAAGAGAATAGACGTTCACTTCTGTCTCTGCTGAAAATACAGTCTCATCTTTACAAAGTGAGACGCATGTTGTTAGAACACTTTGACATGAAGCCTGAAAATATTCAAGTCTAACATTACGTGACCACCATTATGATGAGGACCAGTGAGTTAGTAGTTAATGGCCCACAGGTCTACACTGCACTTGTTTCTAGGCTGTAGTCTCATACTGATTGACCTTCTCTCTTCATGTGTCTTGTCCCTCAGGAGGATGAGAAGTTCCTCACAGAAGTCTTTGCACAGCTTACAGATGAAGCCACAGACGACAGTAAAAGGAGAGAGCTGGTGAGTCCAGTGTGTTGGTCTGGTAAATAGTCATTGTTGGCAGACAGTGAAATAAACTTTTCTCTATCATCTGCTTTGATGACACTCTGATGTGTGAACTTGGCCTGTGATGTGTTTTTAGGTGAACTTTGTCAAGGAATTTTGTGCTTTTTCACAAACCCTGCAACCACAAAACAGAGATGCATTCTTCAAAACCCTGGCCAATCTGGGCATCTTACCTGCTCTGGAGATAGTCATGGTAGGTTGAAGGAAATCTGTCAGGGTTGGATTATTATCATTGTTATTATTATTATTATTATTAATAATAAGTGTCTGTGTTTATCTGCTGCTCAGGGCATGGATGACCTGCAGGTGAGGGCAGCAGCCACAGACATCTTCTCTTACCTGGTGGAATTCAGCCCCTCCATGGTCAGAGAGTTTGTCATGCAGGAACCCCAGCAGACAGATGATGTGAGAGTCTTGACCTCTGTTGACCTAAAGCCATTTAAAATTCATTTTTCATTTTTGCTGACTGTACACTTTTTGTATGTACAGGATGTTCTGCTGATAAACGTGGTCATCAAGCAGATGATTTGTGACTCTGACCCAGAGTTGGGTGGAGCAGTCCAGCTGATGGGTTTACTCAGGACTCTCATCGACCCCGAGAACATGCTGGCGTCAACGAATGTACGTCATACACACGACCTTTGACCTACAGTCACCATGATGTTAAACAGCATCACTGGAAATAACAGTTGGTTTGATTTTCAGAAAACTGAGAAGACAGAGTTTCTGAGTTTCTTCTACAAGTACTGCATGCATGTGCTGACAGCGCCTCTGCTGGCCAACACTGCACATGACAAAAACTCAAAAGGTGACCTAAGAAAGAGACCAAGAAAAAACTGTGAATGTTTGTCATTTTCATGGAATCAATATATATATTTTTTTTTTTTCAGAGCTGCAGGAAGGTTCAGCTAAGATCAACCCAGTCTGCCCAGGTACATGATGTCTCAGTCCAGTCCTGCCAGCAGTTGTTTCACACAGGGTTCCCATGTTCTGTCAGATATTTATGTGTCTATTGTTGTTTTATTTTGTAGACAACTTCCAGACTGCGCAGCTGTTGGCGCTGATCCTGGAGCTTCTAACCTTCTGTGTGGAGCACCACACCTACCACATCAAGACCTACATCATGAACAAAGATCTACTCAGGAGAGTGCTGGTGCTCATGAACTCCAAGCACACCTTCCTGGCTCTCTGTGAGCATCTCCTCTGAAAATAAATCCGTGTCATCTTTATTTGAAAGACTTTACCTAAACATGGTCTTCTTTTAACAAGGTGCCCTGCGTTTCATGCGGCGGATCATTGGTCTGAAGGACGAGTACTACAACCGCTACATCATCAAAGGGAACCTGTTTGAACCAGTCATTAATGCCCTGCTGGACAACGGCACACGATACAACCTCCTGAACTCAGCCATCATCGAACTGTTTGAGTTCATTAAAGTGGTGAGCACACACACACACACACCGGGATGACTGTGGTGTGGTCCTCTGAGGTTCTAATGGTGACATCTGTGTTTCTGTTTGTTTCCAGGAGGACATCAAATCCCTCATAGCTCACATTGTGGACAACTTCTACAAGGCCCTCGAGTCGATCGAGTACGTCCAGACGTTCAAGGGTCTGAAGGGTCGTTACGAGCAGGAAAAAGACAGACAGAGCCAGAGACTCAGCAGGTCAGTGGAGCGAACTGGAGTAGTCCTTATGTTTGGTCTGTTATCACCAAGAAAACTCTGTACTGCACCGTCATTAGAAGTTGCTCTACAACCGTGGACATTAGACGAGGTTAACGATTAAAACCTGTTCTGCTGTTGGCTTGCTGTCATACAGGAAACTAAAATTCTGCTCTGGGCAGGAAGATGCTCAGTGTGTGACGTGGGCGCCTGTGTGTTATTTCCCAGCAGATATCGAAGAGACGCTCGCTCAATGGATGAGGACGAGGAGTTGTGGTTCAATGATGATGAAGATGATGACGACGGAGAACCTGTAGAGAAGAGGATGGAGGATGACTTTTCAGACAGCTATGGCAAATACATGGAAGCCAAGAAGGGTGAGTGGTGGTGATGATGATGATGATGGTGGGGGTGGGTATAGCTGGGTATATTTATTTTCCCGAGTCTGCACACATCTGCTAACATCTACACTGTGACTGCAGGAGCTGCTAACGGAGCTAACGGTGCCAACGGTGGGAAAACAGGAATTCCACCTTCATCAGCTGCTGTCAGTTCAAACAGCTCTACTTCCTCCCTCAAAGCAGTCAGTCTTCCTGCCACTCCAGTCGTGAAGGTAGTGTTAGGACAAATGTTCTCTGAGTGATGTTCCGTTAAAGTGCACGTGTAGAACATCACATCCACACTCTGTTCCCTCTGGGTTATTAATATTGCTGTTCTTTTTTTCTTCCAGACTGCTGTGGTTGGTTTGGTGGACTACCCAGATGACGAGGATGATGAAGAGGAAGATGAAGAGGAAGAACAGACACCAAGGAAGCGTCCTCGTCTAAGCTCTTAAGGTTAATTGTCCTCAGTTTGGTTGTGGTGGATAGACACTGAGTCCCTCCTACCCTGGTCTCATTGGTCCGTGGACTGCCTGTCAGTCTGACTGATGATGAGCCCCCGCCTCAGTCGGTCTCTCTGACTCCTGCCTCTGTTTGCTGCAGTCACAGTACGAGATGTTTTCTCTTCCTGACTGGAAGTACACGGCATTTATTTGTTTAGTTGTTTTTTTGTTGTTGTTTGTTTGTTTTTTTTCAACTCTGTTTTGCCAACATCCTCAGACAGGAGAACTAAAAAAATCTGTTAGTTTTTTTTTCCTGAGTTTCTTCTTCATTTCACACATTAGTCGCCTGACAGTTCAAACATCAGTCTGAGCAGCTGCTCCCTCCACGTCCTCCTCGTCCATCGTACTCACTACAGACTAGAGGCTGCAGTGGAAATCCGTGCCAAGGCAGTTTCCGAACCTGCCCCGTTGCTATAGCAACAACAGCAAGGTAGCTGCGGTACTGCAGCAATCCCACAGGAACCCTGCCATGTCCTGATATGAACTCTACCTTAGACTCTCCTGGAACCAGGACCAGTGGGCTCCAGAGACGGAGACGATCCAGAACACAACCAACCAGCCAGTCAGGCTAGCAGGACTAGCCCTCAGTACCGATGGGAGCTTGACTGGCAGAATCTGTGTGTATGTGTATGTGTGTGTGTGTGTGAAAGAGAGTGAGAGAGCGCTGCCTGACCACAGAACTGTTCACTGAACTGAACCGTTGGTGCTAAAGGATCCAGGCCACAGGGAAGAGTGAAGAATCAGTTCTGCAGAAGTGACAGAAGAAGGAATGGAATGGTGTGATGTTCTGGGATCAGTTCCAGAGGAGCAGGACTCAGACCGTTTGATGCCATGGTGCCAGTCCAGGCCAAGGCACAAACAGAATACACACCGCTTCACACACAGGACCGACCGGACCAGCAGTCCTGTATTTCATGTCTTTGTTAGAAATCGACTGTACAGATGTTTGTTTTGTTTTTTCTCCTCTTTTTAATCATTTGCGATTGTTCTGATTTTTAAAGGGACAGCGATGCCTACTGACCTGTTTTTTTTTAGCACAAGAATGTGGGGTCACATGTTCACTCCCCTGCAATTGGTTGTAATATGCTGGTTTTAAAAAGATGACAGTAAACCGCAGTGATTCTATGTTTTCAGTCAAGAAAATGTGTATTTTTGAAGGTTTAAGAATTCAGATTTTTCACTGGGGAGGGTTCACACTTTAGACTTCCCTGATTCAGATCACACTGACACCTTCATCACTGGACCAAAGAACCTGTGTGTGGACAGGAGCAGCACCTCATCTCCTCGGTTTCTCCTCCTCTGCTCCTCTTCAATCACTTACGTTTGTGAACTTCGTTTGCGTCTTTTCTACCTCTGACAGCAATGAGTCACATGATTCTGATTTGATTCAGTTCATTTTAGGGAAGTATCATGGTTAGATGATGATGAGCGTAGACGCACCTGAAGACGCTGCACCTCAAGATCAGTCTGTCCATCATCCACCGACATGCGACCACGTCTGGTCCAGAAATTTCACATTTCAGTCCAAAACCAAACCTTTCCTTCTTAACTGCAGGATTTTAAAGAGTTTCAAAGGTCAGACGTGAGCTCTGACTGATTTTAAAACTTTGAATTCAGATGTGAAGCATGAAAGCGCCATCTGAATGACGATGTTTTACCCCAGAGATGATGATGTCACTGAGGTGAATGTTCTCAAAGGTCAGAGGTCACAAATGCAGGTTTTCAGAAGCTCAAAGGCACTGAGGCAGTGGAAGTCTTCAGTCTATGTACTTCCATAATGAAGTCATTTCAAGTGCAGTTACCTCCCCCCACCACCGGCCACGCTCAGCATTTGTAAGAATTTGATACATTTTGAAATTAAACCTGACCCTGACACTCACAACTGTGGATTGGTTTTGTCTCTGAGATTAGCAGGAAAGACATTAACATTCAAATGTTATTCTCTTAAGAAAATAAATAAAATCAAATTAAAAAATGACTGGTCAGCATTTCAAATTTCCAAACTCATGCTTTATCACCCGTAGACATTCAGGACGAGGACTGGCAACAGAGCATAGATTTCTTTTAATGTCTTTGGGGAAAATACATCCTGAAATGTGTTCCTATACAGTGACTGTTCTGCATGAAGGAGGCGCTAAAGGTAGCCTCAGCCGTGATTCCCAAATCAAAGAAGAGGAGGCGTTGAGCTAAGAGGAGGCGAAAAAAGAACCAGGTGCGTTACTTCCTGATCACCTCTTCCTTCAGTTTGTCAGCCAGGTGTTTCCTCTTCTGCAGCTTCTTCCTCTCCTCTGCAGATATCTCCTGTATGAAGAGAGCACAGCAGTCAGTCCACACCGGAACCTGCCAGCAGAGGGCGTCCACAGAGGTGAGACAGGAACTCACTGAACACCACACAGCTGAGACTAAACTACAGGAAAGAGCAGAGCTCTGACGTCAGTGTCTTTCTACCAGGGATGTAACCATGCATCGTGAATCAGTTTTAAAAAAATATCAACACATTGGAATTGGTCAGAGTTTATCTGGAGCTCAGTTTGTTAAAAACGAATCGTGATTAAATCGTATGGTGAACAACAAACTGAACCGTTGTATGGTTTCATCCCTACTGTCTACAGAACGACTTCATCGATCACATGATGACTACACACGGCAGCACGGCAACTGTCTCTGACTGTGTTCACAGCTGGTGATCACCTTTTGTTTGGGGGAGGTAACAGGGAGAGGGTGAGGAGTAGTAGTACTGACTCCGTTCCTCTGAGTCTGCTCCACTGTCTGCTCTCACCACAGCAGGTAAAAAAAAAAGAAAAAAGAACCAGGTGAATCAGGAGGGACAGAGAATAAAACCAGAGTCAAACTGGATCATGGTACGAAGTTGTCCTTTTCTGTGCCTGCAGGAGTCTGCTGCATCAACCTGACCTTTGACCCTTTTCTCTTCTTTCCTCCACCTCTCAGGTAAACTCACCTGTACTGTGTTCACCGGGGATTTGGTTGGTGCTGCAGTGAGAGTGGGCGGAGCCTCTCCCGCTGAGCTGTTCTGTTTGGTTCTCTGCTGTTCTTTCTTCAGCGCGTGGAGCTTGTCTCGCTGCTGACGAAGATATGCTGCCCTCTGCTGGAGCTGCTCCTGCTGTGACACTGATAACTCCTGAAGCCCAGAGGAGAGTATGTATACATCTAAGTGTAAATTTGCATATATATATAGATACATAATTACGTATGTAAGTGTATATTTCCATATATATATATAGATACATAATTACGTATGTGTATACTGTATGTATCAGGAAACACTGCTCCTCATAAGAACATCACTTCCTGAATGATAACTGACTGATATAGATGTGGTAGAACACTGATGTTGTCATGTCAACGCTGCCTGATGTGTGTGTGTGTGTGTCACCCTGATCAGCAGGAGGAGAACATGGAGCTGAGTCTCACAGTGAATGGTTTGGAGAAGCCGGCCTCTCTGCGGGCCTCCTCCAGGCATGTTTCTGCTGCAGCCTGACTGATGCTGCTGCTGATTGGCTGGCTGGACTTCAGTGGCGCTGTCACAGCTGGAAGGACTCTGGACTCCATACTGCTGCTGCTGACCACTGAACAGGTGTGATCAGATGACCACAGAGAGTGTGATTCAAATGTTTGTTTTCACCAAGGAAAAAAACATGAACACTGACTAGAACCTGTCGAGACACAGGTGGTTGTTCTGGTTCACCTGGGCTGAGTTTGGGTGACTCCTGGCTCTTAGATGAAACCTCCTCACGGCCACTTCCTGGTTCACTTCTCACCCTCTCCTCTACTGTGTCAGCACTGTCGTTGACCTGGAGGGAGAGAGGGGGCTACGGGGAGAGGGACAGAGGAAGAAGAGAACGTTCTACAGTATTCAGTGGGGAGAGAACAGAACAGACAACAGAGGTTGAACTGTTCCCTCTAGAGGGGCAGATAAGAAGGGCAGGTGAGTCAGTGTTAGCAGTAACAGTAACAGTAACAGTACTGGTGATCATCTTTTCTGATATTTTTTAAAAATAAACAGTTCTAAAACAACAACAACAACAGCTGTAACAGATTCTGTTTGTTTGTGATGTGATTTGATCGTCACTGTTACTACTGCCCCCCCCCCATCATTAAATACCCCCATATGAAGGACCACCACATCATTAAGACCACGGTTCTGGTCCACCCCCCTCCCCCGTCAGGTTCACCTGAGGATGGCCTCACTGGCAGCAAACAGGAAGTAATACTTTACCTTGGCAGTGTGATCAGGGCTTTTATTGGATTCTGCCCTCCCCTCTGTCGGGTGAGTGGAGCAGACACTGGAGGTGGAACCGACATCCTCCCCCGACATCAGTCTCCTGGACATTTCCTCCTCGTACTCCTCCTTGGACTTTCTAAGGTCACACAGAGAAAAGTGTCCAGTACCACAGAGTAGAACGTTTGTAAGTGGCAAATGACCCCCCCCCACCCCCCTCCCCATTAAATATGTATTTAATATGATATAAAAAGAAGCTGCCCCGAGCTGCTAGATGTAAACAAACGGAGTGATGGCATAAGCACACGGCACCATGGGAAATCTGACAGATGAGGTCTCCAGACTGTTTGTTCGTTCTGAAACTAATGAAGTGGTTCCACAGTTGACTGTTGTTCTCAGTTTGTTCCTCCTGCAGTAGCTGCAGCCTAAGAAGATTAACTGTTTATGTGTGTGTGTGTGTTTGCTCCACTTGTTAACAGGTGAATCCCATTAGTGAAGGTAGAGAACTGAGAAGATGAGGGGGAACCACAGGACTCACTGCAGAACCTCCTGCAGGATCTTCATCTCCTGCTGCTGCATCTCAGTCATCACATCCACGCCGTCCGTCAGACACTCTGGAAGTTCACCTGAAGACCACGCCACACCACACAACACCATCACACAAGGAGAAACTGTAGCCAACATCACACTGGGCTGGGCAACGACAGGAAACAGATCACAGGTGTGTGGTTGTCGGTACCATTTCTCTCCTTGATGAGCCTCAGGGCCTGGAGCTGCAGCTCCATGTTCTTCTGCGCCATCAGGGAACGGAACATCTGGAAGTCGTCTGTAGCGAGGACGGGCTGAAACACAGACTGGACACAGAAATGGTCTGGGTCAGGAACAAGGTCAGGTCTGAAAACCCACATTTCACCTTTGACCTTTGTCCATGACACACGTTCATGTCATCTAGGAGTCACTGTGATCAAGCCCAGAGCTGGTCCTCCTGATCAACAACCGCTACATGTCCCAGTGAGCGCTCACAGCAGGGGGCAGTGGTAACTTGGCAGCTGGTGGAGTCGAACCTGAAACCTTCCAGACCCAGGTTCGCTTCCTTAACCCATATTTGGGAAATTCTAAAAAATAATAATAATAAATTATTGACATTTTAAAGTTTTTTTATTTTATTTTGTGCGCGGTAGACGTCAGTCCCTGATCAGACTGATCATCTGATATTTTAATGTGTAATAGCAGTGTCAGAGTGAGGAGGGGGTGGCGGGGTTATTGGGTGCGGGGGGGGGGCAAACACAGGTAACGGGTAAACCTCAGGGTTGTGGGTGTGAATCCCGTCATGGTCACTCTTTCATGTTGTTGTAGCTGAAGTGTCAGGAGGAACGCGGCTGTGAAAGGTTTCTACCTGCAGACTTTTGGACTTGGCGAAAGGAGAAGTGCACGCGTCCAGAAACTGTTGCTCACTGATGCCGACCTCCTGCATGTAGTTCTCCAGCAGCTTCTCCACCTGCAGACACAGAGGTGTGGATACGTTGGAGGACCTGAGGACCTGGGTCTGGACTGGGCTCTGACCCCTGTACTCACCAAGGTCTTGTACTGCTGATGGACGTCTGTGTAGGACAACTTGTTCTCATCTTCATCGTCGAAAACTGAAACCAAGGCCACAGCAATGCTGTTAGTGAAGTGGGGGGGGGGGGCACAGCACTCATAACACTGGTCAACTAATCAACCATAATTAATGATCGTCCTGTGTGTGTGTTTCTCCAGTTTCCTCCTCAGCCCAAAGACATCCAGAATGAAGGTCAGGTTAATTATTCACTCTAAACAGAGCATTAGTGTGAATGAGATTGTCTCTAAAAGTGTTTCAAGACAAAGTCATGAAACTGCTCTAGGTCACGTGATTAACCTCTAATACGTTATTAATAACTCGTGATAAGTTAGTAATAAACACAAAAACAACGGTGGAAAACATTCACGTGTTTGGTTTTGAAGGCGGTAGATTTGAAGAAGAAACGGACACAATAACAAGTTAGCGTTAGCCTAGCCTCCGTGCTAGCAGTGTTGTGTAAAATCCTGGAAAACTACGGTGACGTTTAAAGATAAAAAAATAAATATTCAGGGTTGTTTAACCTGTGCATTTGTTTTCCACAAAATCCATGACAGGGATGAGCCACTCCGGACTTCCGAGGAATCCCACGATGCTCTCAATGATCCATTCACTGTCCTCCTCAGCCATGACGGCTACAGCTACACCAGCTTAACGACAACAACAGTCACTGCAGCAGCGGCGGCGGCAGCGGCAGAGTCTGGGCTGCACCTCAGGTTCGTACGAACACGCACACGGACTCACGCGGTCCCCGCAGACGGGAAGAGACATTTGTTGATCACTGCTGTGTGTGGAGCAGCAGCAAGAGCAGGAGCTCGGACATGACATCGACACACACACAAGTGAGAGTGATGACGCTTAATCTGTTACTACGGCAACTGTGACGTAACTCAGCTACAGCCCGAGCCTGGTTCTTAAACGCCACACACACACAAAAAAAGTTACAAGTTACCTCTCAGAGCTGACAGGCAGGAAGCTCTGACAGATCAACCATGACAGATCACGAGATTTAAGTAAATTTTTTTTAATTTACTTCACACACTTAAAAGTGTAAAAAAGAGAACATTTTTTAAAAAATGCATTTGTTTTAATGGTCTGTCTTGTAGATTAGTTCTTCAGTAACGAGGTCAAAATCAACCGAGTATAAACAACATGAATAAACTATTATCATCATGTGACACGGTAACAGCCAATCACAGCAGTCCTTCTCAGGTTATTGTTAAGGTGACTTTTATGAAAGAATTTAACAACAAAAAAACATTAAAATATGTTTAATTTTTTATTGCTCTGATAGCTGTCAGTAAAATACAACTGCAGTTTTCCTCCTTATCGTCTCCACACAGCGTAAAACAATATTCAATATTTTCATACCTAGAAATGATGGTTATCACACACTGATTCATTAACTAGTCCATCACAGCACTACCAAAAAATAAAAATAATTTAAAAAAAATCTTTCAATTCTCCAATAAAACAGACCAATTTATTAAATACCAACAAGAGAATTACTCTTTCAATTCTCCAATAAAATAGACCAATTTATTAAATACCAACAAGAGATTTTCATCTTTGGCTGAAGCAATATAAAGACGTCAGAAAGACCTGGTTTGATTAGGTGATAAATCAGGATATATTTATATATTGATAAGGAGGACGAGCATTGGCTGATCGCTGTCTGAGAGGAACGATAAAACAGAGAAGAAAATGACGTCAATGAGTGGTTTTTATAAAACAGAGGCTGATGTATGTTGCTGGATTTCACAGTGACACTCACCACTGTTATTCAGTAACATCTGGAACAGACAGGAGTCTCTCCATGCCACCTGCACACACACACACACAAATCAAAACACCATAGTAGTGAAAACCCTGTTTTGTTTTTGTTTTTTTCAGTCGGACTTTCTGATCAGTTCTTCCGTCTCACCAGCGTGAACAGCTGTGGTACACATGACTGGCCCAGTGCCGAGGGTCCCAGGAATCTGCTGCCCACTGGCCGGATCCACACACCAGCACTGCTCCATGTAGCACTGCTGGCTCTGGTACAGACCCTGCTCGTCACAGTTAGGGTAAAAACCCGGGACCTGCACGGGCTTCAAACCAGCAGCCTCCTGCTGACACTGGGTCAGAGGACCTGGGACAGAGGAGGAGACATCTGTGAAGTCCAACCGTTCACTCCGATCAACAGACGCTACAGACGTCTGTGATGGAAAAACTGAAATGACCCTGGACCAGGATCAGGAATAAATACAAAAAACCAGAAAATTCTCTCTACGTATGAAGGAAACTTCCCACAATCCTCTGGTTCTATGACAACAGCTCTATCAAGGACAGACAGCAGAACTACCTGGTTTGACTGGGCCTCCTGTGGAATCCTCCTGTAAAACAAAATCATTCAAAAATAATTACAACATAAGGCAGCTCTAGGTAAACGGTCCGATATCATCGGTGGCCGTAGTTTAAAAAAACAATAAATCAGGAATGTTCTTTCTGTTTCACAGTCACGTGATCATTTCATTTCCTCACCTCATCACCAGAGGTCTCCAACAGTGTGGGCAGGATGTTCATGGATTTGGGAATCTGCATTGTACCAGGACCTGCGGACAGAGAAGCAGAACTGCTGAGACAACACCCCAGAACCTCTGAGGTTCTAATCAGAACATGTTCATGTTCAGATCACTGCTGACGGACCGTCGTCCTTCCTCCTGATTGGACGGTACCAACCTGGACAGCGTGACCGTGTGATCTTTACTCACCAGCAGATCTGGGCTTGCTCAGCTCTACACTCAGCTTGTTGTTCTGGTCCTTCAGAGATTTGATGTCATCTTTCTGACTGAAGAGGAAGTAGGCCAATAAAGCCTGGCTCAGGATCAGGGTACAGGCCAACAGAGTCACACCTGCAACCTTATAGGCACGAGTGGAGCGCCCACTGCAGCAGAGGAAAAAAGAATTAAACAGATGTAAGGACTGAATCTTCTCCTATCTCACTGTAGAATGTGAAAGTGAATCTGTTTCACTGACGCCGTGACTGAAAAATGAAATCACTGTTACTGAAAAACAGTAAAAATCTGACATTTAATATCTGACACTGACGCTGTGACAGAGGTGAGGCTGAAACTACACACAGACCAGTACCTGGATCAGAGTCAAGCTGCTATTCCAGGTATGAATGTGACGCTTCATGTTGAGTCACATGTCCTGATTTTCACTCTCACTTCATCTTCCAGGTTTAAACGCACTTTATTTGGCTATATTATTGTGTTTTAAAGCCCCAGACCACTGACTGTCACTGACTGTCACTGACTCTACCATCAGAATTAAACAACTTAACCAGAGACATCAGTTCCAGAGTTCTTACCTGTGCTCTGGAGCTCCTACATTGATTGCTGTTTCCTGGCTCTGAGCCTGGATCAGAGTCTGGGTCTGGGGGTCTGCCTCTGTCATCTTCACAACCAAAGTACCAAGGTTTGACAAAGAACCGAAAACCTGAAATCCACATCAACACAGTCATAAAGGTAGTAAAAACTCAGAATAATTCCCACTCAGAAATCCCTCCTCCTTCAGTAGGTTTGACTTACTGCAGTGAAAGTCGGTGCCACAGTGACACAGAACTGGTTGCAGCTGTAAGGTCGACTAGACACAGGAGGAACTGAAAGCTGTGGGTGTGGAAAACCCCACACTAAACTGGAATCTGACTGTATTTGTTTTCGTTTGGTTTTCTGATTGGCTGTTAACGCTGTTGTGTCATCAGTTACCAAGGGCAGTATACAGGGAATTTTACAAGCATTAGGAACTAATGTAAAGATCATTCTTTAGTCATTTCTTCTGACATTTAAACTACTGTTGGATTAATACAGTTTTTTTTATCAGTATATAGAATTATTCAAAAGAAGGTTAAAGTTAACTTTTTATTTGACTGAACTTGATTTTGGACACAAACACAAATTTATTTACACAAACAAGTAAAATTAATTTACAATGTAAAATTTGTTTTACAATGTTTGTAATGTTCTTTCTTTCTTTATATAGCCACTCGGTTTAAATGTAGTGAATTAACTGTCCAATAATAATGTCCAGTGTCGTAGAGCGTTTTTTTTTGGGAATGTTGTACATACAAAAATTAACTGATAATAATGTCCAGTGTCGTAGAGCTTTTTTTTTTGGGAATGTTGTACATACAAATGTAAATAGACATATAACTGAATCTGACACATAGTTTTCCCTAAGTACTTTTTCTATCAATTGTGTACTTTTTGGTCTATAAAATAATTTGTTTTTAAGCAAAACATTGTAACAAAACTTGTAAAAAATAATAGATTTATAATAAATTGTAGTATAGTATTCAAAGCGCCCTATATAATAGAGAGGAGTTTGTAAATGTAAATAATTAACATTTTTGAAATTTTTCCTTTCATTCTGTTGAAAAATAAAAATCGTTACTCTAAACGTCACGAGGGACGTCATGTTTTGAAAGGCGCTGCTGCCCCTTTAAAAAGTTACGCCGCTTTCGTTGGCTGAATGCAAACTGTTGCCGGAAGAAACGTTTCACCTGTGACACTCGTGGATAGGGAACAAAACTAAATTTGCAAATAATTGGAAGATTTCTGACGACGTTAAAGTACAAGTCGTGCAGCGGAAAAGGTGAAATTGTGAGACAGGAAGTACTGACACAAACCAATATCTCATCCTCGCAGCCTTGTAGCCTCGTTAGCTCGGTTAGCGTGAGCGTAAAGCGGCAAATTTAAAAGTGGCTAACGTGGCCGTATGAAAAGCTAACAAGTGGTTGAAAATGTGTGTGGCGTCATAGAAAAAATGAAATGTATCTGCTTGAGTTCACTTTGACAAAAGCTTACGTTGTCTGTTTGAGTACTTGTATATTTAGGAGAAGGCATTTAGACGGCGTTATCGTTGCTGTGGTGAAAGTAATGCTAGCGCCGTAAAGCTAACCGGTTGTTTCTGTTGTTTTATATATTTAAGTTTCTTTTTTTTAAAAAAAAACGCATGAACTTATTGCGGCTTCATCTTCATCCGGTCTCTTAGATAGGTTATTTGTCTCCAAACTGTCCATCATTACTTTTTGAGGACAACCAACTATATTACTTTCAATTGTACAGTTCTGACTTATTTTGATGTTGATGGTCAAACATATTTCCTGACAGATGATGCGAAGACCTCGATCCAAAACCTGCAAAGTTATCATAGACGTGGACTCGGAGTCTGACACGTAAGAACCATTCATTACGTCATTCATTGAAGACCTGTTAATAATACTAACTACAGTTACAAACTACATGTTTTAAGGTGGTTAAGTCCAGGAAAGTTAGTGATAATGATTTATAGACAACAATAAACATGTATGCAATGTACGTTTATGAAAAACGAAAAGAAAAAGAAATCTTTCCACTTAATTGAAAATGTTAAAAGATTTCTGGTCACAACTGCTAACTGAAGCTAACTTCTGTAGATTACAAACTATCCCATCTGATATAAATAAATGGACCACAAGGCACAAGGGCATAGTCATAAGTTATTATTGCATTCAAATGAGAGATTGATCATCCAATAACCTTCCAGGCCTTCATTAAAGGTTGTCGATGGCTAAGTGTGCTGACTTATATATGGTTATGTGAACATAGACCAATTTTGCACCAGCTGCAGAGATAATTGCCTGGTTTTCCACACCAGGTCCTGTATCCAGATTATTAGCAGTGATGAAGACAGTGAAGAATGGATTCCACCAGCACCCAAATCTAAAGCAACAAGCAAAGCTGCTGTTGCCCCTGCAGGAGGGGCTAAGAAGCCTGTTACCAAAAGAACGACAAAGACAAACCAGCCAAACCTTTCCAAGGTGGCCGAGGACCCGAAAGGACCGGGCAAATCTGCAGCCATGGGAAAGACGGAGACCACTGATGAGGAGATCCGTGAAAGGAGAGGAGCAGAGGAAAAAGTGACACAAAGTGATGATCTTGACGGAAAGATCCCTGAGGGAAGTGCCTCAGAGACCAGAGTGAAAAATGAGGTGAAAACTTTGTACACATTACTAATCTCCCACTTCTATAGAAAGGCCCTCTGACGTCACAGTGTGCTCTGTTCTTGTTCCTGTTCTTCTCCTACATCACAGAGGCTCTCTTTCATGGCAGCAGAAGTTCAGGCAGACACATGGGCAGGTGAGGGGACGTCCCAGACTGGATTGACAGCAAAGAAAGAGGAAATGAAGGAGGAAGATTTCACATTCGACGAGCCCTGCCTGAAGAAACAGAAGACTGCTGGCACGTGTCAGGGGAAACCAACCACTGCAGCGTCATCAGAGTCACATGCTCTGAGGAATGAGCTTCAGATGAACTGGAACCTGGTCCAGGTACTGTTGGACCGATCACTGTTGTTCCACATACAACCCAGTGCTAATTTACCCTTTCAAATTGAATCATGTTTTTTTTCAAAATTAATATGGTTATTAATTAATATTTTTCAAAAATGCATTTATAAGGAATATAAAATATATAATGACGTCTTAGATTTGTAGTGAGGGTTTGTATGTTGATGATATATTACCAACGAGATTCTTTTAAAACAGAGCAGACTAACACATGCACGATGAAAAATGAAACTAAATTACTTTATTGTTTGTTTACATAATAAAATATGAATCATTTATCAAGGTGTAAGGAGTGGACTGTGTCACTGGTCATACCATGACACAACACACTCTAGTACAGTAGGTGGCAGCGTGCTCTTAAAAACGTCGATTGTGACCCACTTTTAAACCCAGAGGTCAGGTCCCTACGTAGATTAGGTGACATTCAGGTGTTGAAACAAAACATGGGAAGAACTTGTTCCACAGACACCAACAGTGTTTTCCAGAGTTCCTGAAAAGAAGGGAACTCTTTTCAGCTCCTATTTTTTCCTCTTCTTCTGTTGTTTCATATGTTAACAGTTAACCAGGTCAATCAGACCAGAGCAGTTTGACTTTTAATCAGATCAGATCAATGGTGACGTGCAGTGTGAAAAGGTTGTTTGTTTTCTTCATCTCTCTTCTTCTGCAGGTGTTGTCCAGACTGACGTGTGTGGAAACGTGGGTTTGTTCTAATGTCATCACTCTGATTCGTGAAGAAAACACGGTGCCGTTCATGGTTCGCTACCGTAAAGAGATGATTAATCACATGGACGCTGATGCAGTGCGTGACGTTCAGCTGGTGTATGAAGAACTCTGGTAGGAAACAGAAGAATGAACTGTGGTTTAATTTTAGACAACGGCCACCAGATGGCACTAATGGTCCATGTTTGAGGCAGTGACACTGTGTACTACTTGACCAGTTGTATACGTGTGTGTTCTGCTGCAGCACTGTGGCTAAAAAAACCCAGTCAGTTATCCAGACCCTGAAGAAGGATGGAGTGTTGACCACTGATTTGGAGCAAAACCTCAGGAGCTGTCGGTCAGCTGATGAGCTGGATCATGTGGTCAGAGCCTTATTTAATTGCCCTTCATTTACACTTGAACTTTAAGGAGCACATGAACATGTCATTAAACAGCCTCTGTCACCTGGCTCCCCTCTGGTCTTCTAGTACTCTCCCTACAAAAAAGGCAGTAAACTGACCAAGGCTCGCAAAGCCAAAGCCCTTGGACTTGAAGGAGCCGCTATTTCACTGATGAACTCCCCAGAGTCACTGGACTTGAGGGCATGGGTCAAACCTGATACTTCAGGTGAGGCTTGAACACGTGACCTGAGAACCTCTGGTGTTTCCTGTCTGAACAGAAGTCCAAAGCTGATAGGGCTGTGTCCATCTTCTCAACATGAACCACATGTTTATTAACATCAGGCCATTAAAAATGAAGTCGTGGTGATGTTATTTAATAAAAATAAAAATAATAATGAGGGGATTATTATCTGTTTTTCAGAGTAAAACCATAATGGATAATGAAAACAGAAGTCTTCAATGTTTGTTCCACCTTTGTATCATTGACAGGTCTGACATCAGTGGAGGAGGTGGCCATAGGGGTGGAACACATTTTGGCTGATATGATCGCAAAAGATCCTGAGACCCTCACCTATGTGAAAGCACTGTAAGAACACACACACACACACACACCGACACACACACAGTATGATGTGAGTCCATCCCTTCAGAGAATGGATTGTTTTAAAGTTTGTTCTCGTCTCTCTTGCTGTACTGCTGTGGTCCACACAGACCGTGGTCCACACAGACTTGACAACAGTATTTGTGGCTCATTGTGGTCTTTGTCTTCTTCTGTTGTCCGTCAGCTGTGAGAACAGTTGCGTCACCATCCAGTCGTCTCTGTCCAAATCAGCTCAGAAGGACAAGGTGCAGAGGCAGAATGTTCCCAGTGACAAAAAAACGGGGACCAAAAAGCAGCAGAAACACGTGGACATTGACAAGTTCCACCTTTACTTCAACTTCAGCTGCAACGTCCAACGCATCCAGCCTCACCAGGTGCGTCCTCCTCTCGTGTCGGTGGACAGAACGTGTGTGAGAGCTCAGTGTTGTTCTTCACTCTGTGAAGCCGGTCAGGAACGCTGTTGAGAAGACTGAGACTCTCAGTCTAAAGGAGAATGTTCTGGTACCAAGCAAATGTGTTTTACTAGAGATCCAACAACTAATCTAACTTTAGTCAGGTCCGATTTCTGAAAATGAAGTCACAGGTTCTTCAGTTCAACAGCTGATGTTCTTGGTGAATGGATGAGGTCATGGTTCCTTTTAAACAAATAACAAAACAAACAATTTTGACTTGCTGACCGACCACCACTGGACGGTCCATCTCTACCCTTTCATTAAGGATTACACATGAGTCATGTTGGTAAATATTTCTGTAATTATTAACAAATAGTTTAACTGTATTTCTGTCTGACTGAGAAACACACACACACACATCTGTTCCTGTTTGTAGCATTTCTACTTCACTTCCCTGAACCCTCCCCATGTCAGTCACAGTTAGAATCGGCCGTGCCCCCCCCCGACCCCCTCACCACCCACTGTCCCTCCAGTGACTGGTGCTTTACTCAGAGCTGGTCCAGGGCCTCATGTGTCGCCACAGTTCTCATCTGTACCACATCACACTCTGTGGCCATCGCTCTCTGCCCCACAGTCAAACAATCTCTCTCTCCCTCCCTTTCCCTCCCTCGCTCTCTCTCTTACACACAAACACACACACACACACACACGTCAGAAAGTCACACAGTCTCTTGGTCTCTCCTCTGAACATATGTGACATGTCCCCTGCTGACACGCCACTGGACGAGGACAGTTTGATTGACAGGTGCTCTCATGTAGTGACAGTCACTGCTGCTGAGCCCAGGGGCGGACTCAGTGGTGGGGGGGCGGGGGCAGTGAAGGGAGGGAGAAAGTGAACAGGCAAGTGACGATGAGTTGCCTCTACCACTTATCTCCCCCTGTCTCTCCTCTCCTCACCTCTCCTTTCCTTTCCTTTCCTCTTCCTCTTCCTCTCCTTTCCTCCCCCACCTCCCCCTCTCGTGGTGAGCTCTTTAATTCGATGACTGTCCTTTGTCACTCAGTGTCAGTCCTGGGGGGCTGCCGTGACCCTGTTAACTGTCAGATCCAGGCTAAACTGAACCTTTTCTGTTGTCGTGTTGGCAGAAGGAGGAGGAGCAGGTGTGAGATGTCTTCTGACAGGAGGCATGTGTGTGTGAACACACACACTTGTCTGATTAGTGAAGGGAGAGATTTTTTTTTTTTTCATCATTTCTTTGCTTCAACAACAATGGCACCCCCTCACCCCCTTCTCCACCCCACCCCCCACCAGGTGTGTTTTAACACCTAGTTTCCTCCACAGTCAATGAGAGTGTATGGATGTCTGTGTGTGTGTGTGTGTGTGTGTGTGTGACCCTCTGGTGGACTGGAGACCTGTCCAGGATGTTCAGGCTCCAGCTCCTCACAGACGAGGACTAAGGCGTAGGAAAGGATGGATGTTTAGGATTCTTTCTGTGACGGATTAAAATCCATGAGACACTTCAGGAATGTTCCAGGAGGTGTTTCCAAACCTTCCAGGACCATCCTGGAACATTTCAAACCACAGATGTTCACTCCACTGTTGTGTGTGCTGAATTTGAACTTCATTCAACTGCTGTCCCTATGAAGTACTGTGTACGCGCTGTAGGCCGGTGTGTACTTTTACCGTATCCAGCCTGTTGTGCAGCCTTCCTCCTCTGGCTGCCAGGCTGCTCTTCAGCCAGGCAGCCACAGAGCCAGTTTCCTGGCACAGTGACGGGGGAAACTCCCCAAACATGTCCATGTTGAGAATGATGTTCTTGTTCTTTTCCTTTACGTCAAATACTTTGAAAGGAAAACACCGCAAAGAAGAAGTAGTGAAACTATTTGAAGTACTGTGTGTACAGTATACTCCTGCTCTCATTGTTTCCCACACTTTTTTTTCTGCGGAATCCATATTTTAAAAAGTCACAAACCTTCGCAACCCAAGTCAATAGACATTATTCGTAAATGCCTGGGAAAAAAAGGTGCGACCCACCTGAGGGTCACGACCCAGTCTTTGGGAAACAATGGTCTAACTAAGTGGAAATAGCCATCATCTAATTCAGTAGTAAATGAATAAATGTACTATTGAACACTGTCGGGGGGGCTACTTTCGGGGGGGGGGGGGCTGTTCTGTGACCATGTTCTTTTATTTTATTCCATCATC